CATGTGACCCGAGCAAGAGGACACTCTTTGATCTGTAGATTATTTATTTTAAAACTCTCACCAAAGCAGAAACACATGTGGTCACACACTCAATCCCGTTTTGTGAACAGAATACATTGGTCGAAAATCAGGGCATCTAGGGGGTAGGAGCGCTACCAGGACGTAGTGGAAAGAACAAGGGAGTCCAGAGCGTTGAGCTCTGGATCTGCTTGCTCTGTGATCGTGAGCAAATGCCTGGACACTCCTCAAAGCCTCAGTTTCCCTGTCTGCACCATGAGGTGTTTTGACTAGGGTGATGTCATTGGACCCTGCTATGGCTAAGAGCTATGGCTCTTGGCCAATGGGGAAGTCCTGGATTTGACTTCTTCTCAGTGAGCATGACCAGAACTGAATTGCCCATTTCAGTCAGCACAGACGTCCAACTCTGGGTATCTAGTGACCCAGACGATCCCTAAGAGATAGTGTCCAGCTCCACATACCGGAAACCATGAAGTCACTTCTATCCAGAACCCCTCCGAGAGCTGGGAAGCTTGTGGGCTGTCCCCTTGCCACCAGTTGATCCCAGAAGCCAACCAGATCCCCCTGGAGTTCCTAGGAGAGCCTCTTCTGAACTCAGCCTGACTTGGACCTGGTCAGGCACGAAGGAAGGAGTTTCTCTAAGGCAGGGTGGGAAACAGGACTCAGAGAAAGAGGATGCTTCCGGTGGCCGGAGAGCTCCCCCACTTCCTTCAGCGCTTGGCCCACTCCCCATGAGAGCACCAAGTTCTGGCAGGAGATGGGACTCACAGTGCCCAAGCTGTTTATCCAGCTGTCCTCAAATCTCCAGGCCATGGAGCGCCTATGTACTTTGGCCTGGAGAATGTTGTCAGGCATCGGAACACCCACTGGGTCACAGCCCAGACCAACTCTGGGTGGGAGGAGGGAGGCTGGCTGAGTTGCGCCATATCCCTCTCTGGACCTCCTCTCTCCTCTTCTATCCATACAGACCCGATTTCGCTGGGCAGTCTGTGCCTCTCAAGCACCAGGGAAGATGCCCAGCTTTCACGTTAGGCCGGAGAGATTTGAACCAGCCAATAGTCTGAGGCTTCGTGTCTTCCCAGGCCTCCATAAACAGTAAACACCCTCCCAGGTTAATATACCAAAAACATGTCATTTGTATAAAGTGCACCCTGGTCGCAGAGCATCTTGACTTCTAATAAGAAGAGCAGGATATCAAATTGCTTCCCCTAAGCTGTAATACTTGGATATTTCTGTCCCAAAAGATGGGAAAATAAACACTCCTTCCTCTCAGGGCCATAGGCATAGCCAAATTTGTGTCCAGAAATCTATGGAGAAGGACAGTTGAGAAGAGGCAGCTTACGGAGAGAGAGAGTCACCAGCCCAACAGGAAATGGATCATTAAGGGCAGAGACAAATCTAGCATGGTCAGTCAGGCCCAACAGATCAAGCCAGAACATGGAAAAGTGGAGTGTTGGCCTGGGTACCAGGTAATGGGGTTAATGTTCCAGGTGAAAATACCTGGGTGGGTGTGGCATGAAATGAGCAGGCGCTCTTTGGAGTCCAGGACACTGTTGTTCTCCAGTAGAACAAGGAGGAGAATTCCCTCCTGTATTTTGCAAGCTCTTCTCCCCATTTGTGTCCACCCACGCGGACTAGAGAAACAAATCCAGAGACACTCATACGTGTATAAGAAAGAGCTTTATGTAAAAGAACAATTGTATGATGAGAAAATGTCCCAGACCAGTCCCAATCAAGTTCGTAAATTCAATATTATCCCATAGGTCTGATTCTAGTCTATAAATTCTTCTTTAGACTCATGCAGCACATGCAATGATGCAAAATGCAGGAAGATCATAGGCCAGTGAGCAGAAGGTCTTGTGGATCCAATGGCAGTGGAAGCATCTCAGTGTGGGTGCGGATCTGCACGTGTCTCAACAGCAGGAAGGGGAAAGCAGAGAGAGACTCTGGGTCTGGTCTCCAGTGAGCTCTTTATCTCCATTGCACCTCCACATAAGATCATCAATCTGTGACCTGATTGACAGGCTAGACTCCACCCCTTCACTCAAGTTGACAGGAGATTATGTAACTGCCACACCATTCAATGGAGAGAACAGGCATTCTTAGAACTATTTTGATCGCAGTCAGCTTACGACAAGAAGTTCCTCAAGAAAACAGGTATGGGCACTGAGCGCCATCTTCTAGAGCAGAATCTTCCCGTTTCTGAAACTGATACCTTCAGACCAGATCAATCTTTGTCTTGGGGGGATGTCCTGTGCATTGTTTGATGCTTAGCGGCATCCTTAATCTCACCCTTGGTTGCCAGGAACAAGCCTTCTAAGTTGTGACAGCCAAAACTATCTCCAGACATTGGCAAATGTCTTAGGTGCCAGTCGAGAACCACGGTTTTAGAGGAAGATGTGCTTAAACCTATTTTCTCTGTAAAAGCCATTCAATGTGACTTCCCAGGAATACATGGTGAGAACAGGGGCATGGACCCCATGGAACTCTTGAGCTCATTTAGCCCTCCAACAGTAGCAAGTCACCTTACAACTGAGGAGGACACTGGGGCACAGAGGCATTTAGCAACATGCTCGTGGTTACAAAGCCAATAAATTGGCTTGGTCCAAGCAGGCTGACGCCAGAGCCCATGTTATATATAACATGCAGTGTGCAACAGAAGCAAAGCAGCCTTCTGTACTCTTAGCATTCTCAACTCATGTTCCAACCAACTGGACCCTATGGAAATCCGTCTAATCTAGAGCTCAACCCTGCCCTGGACCAGACTCTGGGGGTAGCAAAGTCATTGCCCTAGAATCAGGCTCAAAATAAAAGAAGTTCATGCTCACTGCAAAAAATAAAATGATGAACAGAGACAACATGACAATCGAAGGATTTTTGACTGGGGATCATCAAGCAGTTGCCAGGTGAGGTGGTGGGAGGCTCCACCTACATCATATATGATGTTGACTTGGGTTCTACTGCTTCCAGAAATGACCAAATGAGCAACACCCTGACCCTCTAAGAGAAGAACTGACCGAAGACAAAATGGGTGCATATGCGAATGTGGTGAAGAAAGTTGATGGTGCCTGGCTATAAAAAGATAGAGCATCTGGGTTCTTAAAGGCTTGAAGATAAACAAGCGGCCATCTGTTTGAGAAGCAGCAAAGCCCACATGGAAGAAGCACACCAGCCTGTGTGATCATGGGGTGTCAATGAGATCAGGTATCAGGCATCAAAGACCCAGAACAAAAAAATCATATCAATGTGAATGATGGGGAGCCCGGAGTGGAGACCCAAGCCCATCTATGGACAAACTAGGATCCCCTCAAAGAAGGGTCACAGGAGGGATGAGCCAGCCAGGGTGCAATATAGCACTAATGAAACAACTTTCCTCTAGTCCTTCAATGCCCCACACATACCCACTAGCATGATCCCAATTCTACCTTACAAACCTGGCTAGACCAGAGCATGTACACTGGTACAGATAAGAGCTCGAAGCACAGGGAATCCAGGACAGATGAACCTCTCTGGACCAATAATAAGAGTATCGATACCATGAGGGTAGGGGAAAGGTAGGAGAAGAGAGGGGGAACTGATCACAATGATCAACGGACGTATAACCCCGCAGGGGGACAAGCAACAGAAAAGTTAGTGAAGGGCGACTGTGGTCAGTGTAAGATATGAAAATAATAATAATTTATAAAGTATCAAGGGCTCCTGAGGGAGGGAGGATGGGGGAGGGAGAAAGGAATGGAAAAATGAGGGGCTGATACCAAGGGCTCAAGTAGAAAGAAAATGTTTTGGAAATGATGATGGCAACATATGCACAAATGTGCTCAACACAATGGACGGATGTATGGCTTGTGATAAGAGCTGTAAGAGGCCCCAATAAAATGATTAAATAAAATTTTTAAAGGGAAAAAAAGAGAAAGAGAGAGAAGAGCTGACTCCAGATGGTCAAAGACCAGGGTTGTCGAACGGAACAACCAGAGACACAGGACTCCTAGCTAACATTGAGCAGTGATCAACTGATAGGTTTAGCATGAACGTGTCGGTAATGTCGCGTGGGGTGAGGTCAGAAGTCCAGGGGCAGACTCCTCACCTTGAATGGGGAAGACTCGGGTTGGATCACCAGTTAATGGATTTCTTACACAGCGGTCACTCATTGTCAGGGGAGGTCTGTGTGTGGCTATGGTGTCGAACAGGTTTCAGTGGCTCTTCCAAGCTAACATGGGTTAACAGGAAAACCATGAAGGTCTACTGCTGAGGGTCAGCCCATGAAAATCCTGAGGACCACAACACATGGATGGATGGATGCATGGATGGATGGATGGATGGATGGATGGATGCATAGATGGATGGGGGTGGGGGTTGGGGGGGTAAGTCCGGGTGGAGTTTTACACAGGGTCACCATGAATCAGCATCAGCTAACAAAATAACAATAGCAACATTGCATGGGCCGTGTCATGACCGGCCAGTCGATTCTAACTCAAAACAAGGCTACTTGCACGTAAAGAAAAATAATCACTTATTGGTCTGAAATTCTCATTTAACTGGATAGGCTATATTTTTGGGGGGGAGAGGAGGTATATTATATCTGGTAACTCTACCCAAAGACAGTGCTTGGATCCTGTCCCCCAAGAAGGCCAGATGCCCCTCAAAAAGCTACCACACTGCCCAAAGCCTGATCTCCCCATGAAAGGGGAGAAAATATGCCCGTTCCGCCCCCCCTTGCCCTTCTATGTCCCAATGTGCCCCTCACGTTGATCCCCTCACTCACCCCTACTTGAGTCCCGCCTCTCCTGCCCTTTATTCCCACTTGGAGACATTCCACCAGCACAAGGATACTAGCAGGGTTAACCCTCCTGATAGCAAGTCACACTTTAACTCCCTCCGGGCCAAGGATTAAACAGGGCCCATGCAGAGGTCAGATCAATAGCAGACCCTGACCGCTAAGCAACCCCCCCACCCCCCCCAAAGTGAGGAGAGGTTGCAAGGGAAAGGGAGGGCCAGAGCCAGGAGCAAGGGGAGGGAGGAGGGGCGGCCCAGCCGGGCTGCTGTCCCCCCACAGAGCCGGCTCAGATCCTGCTCTGGGAGCAGCCGAGCTGCAGAGACACACACAGGCAGATAGACACCCAGACGAAGATCCCGGGACTGGACACCCGCGGCCTCCAGCCGCTCGGCCCGGGCCCAGCCCCATGGCCTTCAATGACATCCTGGAGCAAATCGGGGGCTTCGGCCGCTTCCAGAAGATCCAGGTCACCCTGGTGGTCATTCCTATGCTTCTGCTGGCCTCCCACAACACCCTACAGAACTTCACTGCCGCCATCCCCACCCACCACTGCCGCCCACCTGCAGCCACCAACCTCAGCCAGGATGGGGGGCTGGAAGCCTGGCTGCCCCGGGACAGGCAGGGGCGGCCTGAGTCCTGTCTCCGCTTCACAGCCCCACCGTGGGGACCGCCCTCCGCCAATGGCACCGAGGCCAACGTCACACGGGCCACTGAGCCCTGCGCAGATGGCTGGATCTACAATGACAGCACCTTCGCGTCCACCATCGTGACTGAGGTAAGGACTGGGCTCCCTGCTGTGTGTCTGCCGGCCCTGACTTACACACACTCACAGATGCACACTCACTCACACACGCAAGTCCTCCAGCGGTCAAAAGGAAAGCTGGAGAAACGGTTCATAGTGGGAATCTCTCTAGAAAGGGTGATATGGGCATGGAAGTTTAAAAAACAATTTTTTTAACCAGCTCTCAGCTCCCAAGGACCCGGAGGTTGCCAAAGAGGCTGATCCAGCCACCAGAGGGCCAGCGTGGAAGGAAGGGAAGGGGCTTCCCTGGAGCCCGGGGTCATCTCTGCCTAACTGTGTCCCTTCTCCCCACAGTGGGACCTCGTGTGTACTCACAGGGCCTTACGGCAGCTGGCTCAGTCCTTGTACATGGTGGGGGTGCTGCTCGGAGCCATGGTGTTTGGGTGCCTGGCAGACAGGTCAGTCCTGGGGTAGACCAAGGGACCGGGCTAGGGTTGGGGGCTCCTCAGCTGGACCTAGGTGAGAAGTTGGGATCCCCACCTGGGGCTGGTTTGAGAGCTTTACAGCCCGAGTCTCACAGCACAGGAACCTTCTCTGAGCGGCCGTCCCTGGTGTTACCTGTGGCCGATTCTTCACGAAGCAGCTCCCCTCTAGTGCCTCTGGGGAGACTCAACCTGCCAGTCCTTGGGTGACTTGCTAGTTACACCACCCAAGGCGTCCCACAGAGACCTTCCCAGGTCCCCCAAAGAACCCTGGCCCTGGGATGATTGGGATTGGAGTGACAGGGTGCCATCCGACGCTGGAGTTTTCCAACCTTTCCCTGACAACCAAAACCTTCCCCTTCAAAAATAGACGAAAAACCGAACTGCTCCGAGGAAAGCAAACTGCCCATCCCAAATCCTGCCAGCTCAGTCCGTGACGGCCCCCAATGCCCTTGTACACACTCGCTCACTCACACACAGGAGCCCCTGAGGCACTTTGAGGGTGCCCCCCCAGCCCCCAACGACCACCGTGTGAACACCTGGCCTCTGACCCAGCCCGTGCAGTCCCGAGCCAGAGGACAGAAAGAAGCTGAGCAGCAGGCAAGCAGAGGGTGGCCCCTGGCACCCTGCCGCTTCCCCTCACAGGCTGTGCGGCCTTGGGCCAGCCCCTCCAGCCCTCTTGCAAATGGGATAATGATCATCTGTTCACAAGGCACATGAATGTACCTAGTACTTCCCAGCCAACATGGCTGTTCCCTCAACTCTCCCGTACCCAGTAGCAGCCAAGGGGCACTGTTGCCTAGGGCTCTTGGCCCCTGAATGTGTGTCTGTGGGGCATGTGGTGGGGGAGGAGGCGTTCTAGCTGCTGGGTGAGGAGCTCCCATTGCCAGAAACTCAAACAAGCCATCATCTCAGGGCCTCACCCAGGGCAACCACTGCCCTCCGTGCCCAGCTAGCTTCACCCCCTCCTTCCTCTCCCCTCTGCACCCCCTGCCCCCCCCCAACATAGAACCACCTCACCCCACCCACCCATGCTCCCTTCATCCCCAACAGGCCCTCAGGCTTTCCCTCCCACCCCCACAGGCTGGGCCGCAGGAAGATTTTGATCTTGAACTACCTGCAGACCGCCGTGTCCGGGACTTGTGCGGCCTTCGCACCCAACTTCCTCACCTACTGCACGTTCCGGCTCCTCTCGGGCATGTCGCTGGCCAGCATCGCTCTCAACTGCATGACGCTGAGTGAGGGATACCAGGAGGGCAGCGTGCCCCACCACACACACACACACACACACACCACCCACCTGGGACCGCCCAGCCCAGCCGCTCCCTCCCTGCCCCTTCTCCCAAGCCCACCCTTCCCACCAACACTTGAGCCTTTCTCCCTGCCTCCTATCACCTCCCCCACCCCCACCCCACACCCTCCCCTCCTGGCTAGACATGGGATGGCAGCCTCCACTGCTGGGGTCAGGCAGGGAATGTGTGAGGGGCAGGTCAGGGCTGCAGCCAAAGGGACAACGTGGAGCCAGGGACACAGCTTCTCCAGCCACCTCCCTTTCGGAAGAAAAAAACTCCTTCTTTTTTTAATGTGTGCAGTGAACTTTAAAGTAGTAAGGCAACATCAGGCAGACTAAGCACATTTCTAGGCGGAGTACCATCTGCCCGTCAGCCACTGGCGTGACCCTCTGACAGA